TTTGTGCTAGGTAACAATACATTTGCCACACGTAGAATTGGTGCTGGAGGGACATTAATGGTAGCAAACTGTTAAAATCTCTGTGCTTACAGTGCTTTCATGAATGGCAGTACCTTGCAGAGTGGCTGCATTAAGCTGTGCAATATTTTTTGCAGACTCCTCAGTCATCACCGCATTTAGCTGACCATGCTTAGGTGAGACTTGCAGTACCTGGGGGCATCACCAGTGGGGATATTGTCCAAAACCAGGCATTTGACAGCATGTTTCCTTCTATGAAAAGGTTTAGTCTCACTCCTTCCCCAGACAGAAGCATGAGCAAAGGTAGTACTGAGCTGAGGAGCTAGGTAACAGCACATCCATTACTCTGAATTTTATACCCAGGTCATTATATTCTTCCTTCTCAATCAAGCAGTGCTTTTCACTTAGATGAGCTCCATTTCTTCCCTGCCAGGATGCTACTCCCATGTCCCCTGGGATCCTGATTCTTTGTCCCCACTTGTGGCACCTCAAGCATGTTCTGCTGTCACCCAAAGAATCCGTGTTCTGAAAATAATCCTGCTTCTATTAATTCTCCCCTTGAAAGACAAACACAATAAGAAATGAGTTAATGCTATTACTAATCTAATAACCACACACCCATCCTAAAATTATACAGCCGTCGTTTACAGACTCTGGGATGAAAGCTCCTGAGGGTTCACATTCTGTTCCTAACAGGTCCATGAAGGGCAGCTAGTAAAGCAAACTTCTCTGCAGGCTTAAATTCCTTATGCATGGATCTGCACCTCCACTGGAAAATCTTTTGCAGCAGTCAAAAGAAAAAAGAAAAAAGAAATCTGTCTTCCAGCTATGTGCAAGATCTGAATTCAAACTGGATTATTACATAAATACACAGCCTCATTCGAAAGACCTGTCAGTCTGGGTCAATTTTGGGCCTTTTTTTAACCTTTATTTTGCAGTGAGGTCATGCCAGGGTCTCAGCACTGGTATCCAAAGGCTTTGAGATGTTCCGAGTTGAGGTCAGAATTTTACACCATTAGCTACAAATCTACATGGCCCTGGCTGCTATTATCACATGTTGATAAGATGATCCTTTTGGAGCCGAGTGATTTGAACAATGTGATCTCAACATTGTTAAAAAGTAGGTGACTAGAATGAGATAAAGGGGAGCTGTGATCCCAGGTTCTCTCAGCATATGTTAGCACTATTTACCAGGAAAAAATATGTATTAAAAAGACTATTATCTAACAATGATCATTACAATCTACATGTTGTTTCTTTGATCTTTTGAATATTGCTTTTCTAAACAGACCTCTGGTGATTTCTTCTTTCATTTTATTTCCATCTGTCTTGCTGAGACTAAAACCCACAAACTGTGCATTTTTTCAGTAAACATAGTGTTTTCTGTATTGTGAGATTTATTCCAGATCGTAGCACCCAGAGTTACTGCAAGACAACCAGAAAAGCAATTTCTTTCTTGCCTCCTTCCTTGCTTTCCTACCTTCTCTCTCATAGCTGTGGCAAAGACATGACAAATATGGTGAATTTAAACAGATATATATTTTTTAGACAATCTCAGAAAGCTTCTTGGAAAAAAAAAGGAAAAAAAAAAAAAAGAAAAAAAAAAAAGCCTTTAGAAGGTCCTACATAGTATCTTTTCTGTTTTCTGTCACTGAATGGCTTGCTGGGTCATTTGTCAACTTTCTCACCCATGATCAGGAGAATTAAACTTTATCCAGAGTTTTATTTTTGGGGCCTGGCTGCTCAGCTCGCGGCAGTGGCCAGAGCCCCACGTGAGGCGTGCTGGCCCTATATACCTGGGTGTACAGCTGTGTGCACGCCTGCCATCTCTGAAACAGCCCCGGGCACTTGGCAATACCTCTCTGGTACCCAACTGCCACCTTGTTTCAGGAAGATGGAGACGAGGAGGAAAGGGATCACTGCAGTTTCACTCTGGGCTGTGTCAGCAGCAAACACGAGCGATGCCACACCAGCTCGGGCAGCCCAGGCCCACCGCATCCCTCCAGCTGCTGTCCTGGGAGCCAGACACCCCCAATTCATACAGAGCAGTAAGGAGAAGGCTTTTTCCCTCTTCCTCAGTCCCTGTATCAGCCGTGCCCCTTTGCCAACGTGCCCAGCCTGCTGGTGAGCTCCGTCCTACTCCCTGCCCCCCGTGGCAGCCTTCCCTGGGGCTGCAGGCCGAGCAGGCGGCGCTCCTCACCCCCAGCTGTCCCTCAGCTTCCCGCGCCAGCCTTGGGTGCTACTCGGTGATTGGGACCATCTCTCCTGTTCCAGACACTGATGAGCTACATCTGGGTTAGATTTAAATCTCCCTCGTAGCCAAAATCTTTCCCGACTCAGTTATTTGAAATAACTGTTTCCGTCCCAGACTCCTTCCCATCTTCCCTTCCTGTCCGTGACAGAAAATAAAAATAGAAACAGCAGTAAAACACACTCTCTAGAAGTTGTCAGAGAGGGCAGTTACACATTTTAGTTAGTAAATATGATTGCTTGTGGGAATTACTCCACTCAAACCAAACCAGCAAGAGGAAGGGCTGAATCCGTCTGCCTGGCGCTCGGCAGAAGCGCACCTAGGCCGGGTCAGCCTCTGGCCCCCTCGTACTCTGTGGTAAGAAGCAGGCCCTTGGAGGCAGATAAATTACATTCAGGATGTGCAAATTTATCTCCACGGACTATCAGGGGATATTAATACGACCACAATCCTCATGCAGGCGCCTTGCTTCAGTATCTCCTCGTAGGTCTGGTGACTGAAGCCAAGTGAAAGCTTTGCAGCTCATGCCCAGCGCATGGCACCAGGTGCAAGTTAGCTGTGCTAAACCTCCTGAAACATGAGCGCAGTGATTCCCAAACCAGTTGCTTTTCTGGGCTTTGTTTTTTCACATAGGCTTGTACGAGCCGTCAAAGATCAATATTAAAGCTAAACAAAGTCGTGTTAAGTTTCTAAAGCAGTGGCGTGTCTGGCCTAGCTTCGTGGCAGCTAGCAACATTGGAGCCAGAAGTGTAGTGGCAAGTTTTCTGTTCCAAGCAGGAAAAATTGGGAGGTGATGAAATGAGTATTCGCCTGAGGCTCTGGAAAACTGGAGACAGATGACGGTGCATCGTATTAGGCAGGCACTTGCTGAAGAGCAAGAGCATGCACTGATGGATACTAGCAGCAGGGACACTTGCTTTCATATCACAGCAATAGCTAGTGGAAATCATTAGAAGCCAGAGTCTGTACAAAAATGACATGCAAAAAATGTTTTGGAGTGGCTACTTTCAACAAGCTGGAGGGAGCAGTTGCCTTCCTGCAAAGCAGGCACCTCCTGACCTACTTCTTAATAGCAGCTGAAATCAAAGCCCCTTTATGCTGCTGAAAGCCTTAAACTGGGAAGCTGTTCCAGCAAGCAAGAAGTCCCGAGGCACTTCTCCTTGTCCCTTATATGTTCTTTCTAGCCTTTGGCTACTCATGGAAAGAAATGCCTTTCTACTTAAACATAGTTTGACTAATTAATCTATTCCATCTGTTCCTTCCTCCCAAAATGTAACCATGACACAGAAGTTTCCGAAACAGATTTGGTTCTCATATTGATAAACAGGTCACAGAAAAACAGGAGAGCGGGGAAGGGGGTGAAGGGAAACGTTGGGATTTTAGCTTTTATTTCATCCCGACTAGCTTCTGACTCTCTTTCATGCAGACGGCTGATTTGCACAGTATGCTGCACACATCAGGGCAGTCAACAAAATGCATCTGAGATCATTTGTGCAACTAGATCAGAAAAGCTAATCGCTGCTTGCAGAAAGGCGCCAGAAAGTGCAGTGTGTTAAAACAGGGTTTTGTACAAATTCCAGTGGAATTAAGTAACTTCTCTGGGTATTTCATGTAACCTGGGAGTTTCCTCTCGAAATAAGTACCAGAGTCTGCTTGTCTCTAACATAGACTAGTGAATAGGGATTCAGTTTGATAAATTTCTTAAAACATCGAGGAAGAGACAAATGGGCTAATTTTTAAAAGTTCAAAGTGCACCTGAGCGGCTGTGCTGAGGCTCGCCAGCTCACAGCTGCTGCTGGAGCTGAATGCAGCACTGTGTTGCCATGTGCAAGTTTGCTCCTAACAAGTTAGCCCTGCTATTGTAGATCAAATGCCCTTTATCTGAGCTGACAGCAGGTAACTGATCAAATATTACTGAGTTTGCCTTTAAATTTTAACCTGCGAGAGTTACGCCGCATGCTGTCAGATTTTATGTTTCGTGACATAGGATGCCACAACCAGGCAATGCAGCACAGCATAATGCAACGTGACAGCTAAATTCAAAGGAAAAGACAGCTCTCCTGCAACAATTAAGCACTCCTGATACTCCGAGCACAACTCCAGTGCTTTGTGCTTGCTGCAGCCAGCCAGGTGTCCTCATAGCTGGAGTGTCGCCTGCAGAACCGCCAATCTTTTTGAACATACAAAGCTAAACCACTACTTGCAAGTTTCCTGAACTTTGTTGGGTTATCCTCCACAGTAGGTAAGACAACTTTAAATACGCTTTATTCTTTTCCTAACATCCTGCTTAGTCTCTGTGCAGTGGAGTTCTGTCCATGTTTCTCCAGCAATGCAAAGGTAAATTATCGATGATTTCCAAACTTGAAAGGAAAATAGAAAAAAACACATACTTTCTAGCAAAATAACTGTGCTCACTCCAGACTGTATGTAATTTGGATAACCTTGACAACTAACACAATAAACAGTGCCATGATTTTAAGTGAGGATGAGCTAGCACGTTAAAATCTCCCTGCCAAATCTAATACAAGCGCCAAGCCTTCCAGGTGTTTCATTGTGTTATCACACAGAACTAACATAATTTTTTCTTTCAGTTCTGAAGAGGTGGTCCAAAATGTTTAAACTACAGTAGTTGCAACATGTCAAAGAGGGAATTTATTATCTCAGCCCCAATAGGTCTTAATAAGCCTTACACAACTGTTTAGGCATTTATTCTATTAACGGCTGTTCATTCCAGTGGCTTCACCTGAATATTCATGATCTTACTATTCCCAGTGCTTCAGTGTAGCAGCTGTTTGAAATCCACAGCAAATGTTCAAGAGAGTTCCACAAATATAAACACCCTCACAGCTGAATGTTTGGGGCCTGTGCATCGCAGAGGAGAGACATGAAACATTTATGTGGAGTGATTTTTGGAGGACGGCATTTACAAAGCTTAAATAGTCCTTGCACATTTGGGAGCACTTCACTGTGATTGGGACATTACCATGGAGGACAAAGAGTCTGGAAGAGCCTACAGCCCACAAAGATGTTACACGCGCCTCTATGTGATAATTCAGCGTAACAGAGGATTCCTGTGAAATTCCAGATTCAGAGTCAAACCTAGGCAACTGCAATACAAGGTGGGTTTTTTTCTTGCCTTATTGGCATGGGTTTGCATGAGGATGGAAATGGCACATGTAGGAAGAAGCTACCAAGGAGGTTAAAAGAAGCAATGTGCTCAAATAAATAAGCTAAACACAGAAGGAAACATCGTTATACAACAAATCTTTAAAATATTGCTATCACCTTTGCTCATATGTGAACTGAGTGTCTAACTCAAGACTCCACTTACATAAACCATTTGTCTCCTATTAAGTAGAAAACATGTTCTGATGGAGTCTAAGCAGATAAGACACTTTAATTAGCAGGCACATGGAGGACATAAAGAATTCAAGCTCCTCTCAGAGGAGTGGGGATGGGAAGCAGAGCTCTCTACCTGGCGTCCCATCTGTTCTGCCTCTGTCCATGTGGCTGGCGTCTAGGAGTTGTCACTGCCTCAGATTGTTGGTGGTCTTTGCAAAATTAATGGATGGATTTAGCCCACTTCTCAGAGGACAGGTGCTCTCCTGCAGGAAAACACTCTGAGGGCACGAGAGGATGATTTGCTCTGAGAAGATGGAGCAGAGGGGCAGGCAGCAGGGACCAGTGCTCACAACGGCTGCTGCCCGGTCAAGAATGCAATGGGAGCAGGAGCAGCAGTCATGCAGCTGAGGGCACTATCCCAGGACCTGTGAGACCGAGATCTCTGCCCTGCTCCCTGCCATGAAAACTCTGATGCAGGGGATGGTTTTCACCACAGGAACCAGAGAATGGGATAGGAAAGGGAAGGAGGGCAGGACACAACTCCTAACACCAACCTAAGAACTTTCCCCTTTCAGTTCAGGACTGGGTCTCCCTTTTCCTTATGGAGTTTTCCCTGCTTCTCAAATTGAAATCCACGTGTGGACAGACAGACTTCTGATGGAAGAGGAGGAATAGAAAAAATATAAACTGGGCACACAACAACAAAAATTGTTTCCCATCAGCTAAACCTTCCAAACTGGAGATTTTGGCGTGACTTGGCCCCGCCATTTTTCACAGGACTCGTTTTAATACATTGGTGGATTTGACATAACAGCAACATTAAGTTACAGTTAATTAGCTAAAATGTAGTCAAGTTACAGTAAATGTTAGCCTAGACATTGGAAATACATATATGCATGTGTATACATATGCTGTATACACAAATATACTAGTTACAGGATTAGCACCAGTTAAGACCTTCCATAAACTATTGAAAATGACCATATCTCACTTTTGTATAATTCAGAGAGAAGGAATTTCCTTTCAGAGGACTATGTGACTATGTTGATTTCATCAAAAAAAAATAGAGTTCTAGTGTTTAAAGGAAACCTTACAACAGCCACGGGATTTTCAGTAATGTACTGGGGAAGGCATTGTTCATATACAGACCTGATCTCTGTGAACAGTAACGGTTCCAGGCTAATAATGAAATAATCCATTTTTACTAGATGAAAGAAGAGGGATCAGAAAAGTAACTCGATCTGTGGGTAATAATGGTGCCAAAAGCTTATAATGGAAAATATCTGAAGAATCCGAGACTCTCTTTGAGAGATATGAATGATTTCTTTTTTCTTGCGAAAAGTGTATGAAGAACTTGAGAAGAAGTGCCTGACTGAATTTTATGAGAAAAAGCTCTGTTTGGGGGAGAAAGCGGCAGTGTCGGGTTGCAGCCCAAACACAGCTCGGCCCTACGTAGCAGGAGGCATAGCTGAAAGATGCTCCAGCGCCCGCACTTGATGCACTCGCACGTTGACTTCTTTTTCTCCTCCTCTAATTTTTTGTTCTCCAAAAAACAAAGTTTATAAATTAGCAGGAAAAAGTCCCTGTGTCCAATTTTCCATCTGTTAACAGAGCCCATAATTCACACCATAATGACCTTTCAGCAAAACGAAAATACGGGGTAAAATCACTAAAATCAGCTGAGGACTTGCTGCTTATTTCAACAAGGTCAGGGTTTTGCCATTCCTGCCCAGCTGCTTTCATTGGGCAACTAAACCACATTTCATACAGAAACCTCCCCAACATGCAATGTTTGGTTTACCCCACCTGTGCAAAGAATCCTTACTCAGATAACCAGACCTAGTGACATCTCAGGAGCTTCTCAGCTGAGAAAGGCTTGCATGAGCCCTCCATTTATCCAAATATTTTTATGTCCAAACCCTTAAAATATGGCCACATAAAGGAGAGTACAAACAGGACTCAAACAGATTCAAAAAGTCTTTTACAAAGGTAATTGGCCCAAGTATTCCCATTTCACAGATGGGAAAATTGAGGCACTGAGGGACAAAACTTGTCCGTGGTGAGTGCAGCAGAGCCGTGCTTACCGGGCTCATAGCACAGAGGGCTCTCAGCAGCACTGTGCCACCTCCCTGCATGAGGAAAAATCATAAAAGTAGTTTTAGGGTAGGCATAATGAACTTCTCAGCTGTTCCTTCCATTAAAACTGCCTTTTTTATTTTTTGCAGTTTCATCTTTTGCATTGCAGGCACTGGCACGTTGTCTAACTCCTGCTCGGTCCTCGCAGGTATGCGTGTACTGGTTACTGGGAAGTAAATAATGAAACTGGGGGCACCTCTCTGGCACGTTAATTTAAAGTGCATTGTGAAATCTAGCCCCTCTCTCTCTCTCTTTCGTACACAGATAAACCCTCCTTGCTCTGTAAGTGTGCGTGTGAGTGGATGTGTAATGCAGATAAATCATTGGATTTCAATGACTACTGGGCTGAGATTGAAATAAGAAATAGCTTGTTGATTACTAAGGCGATTAAAAGGATCATCTTATTGATTCCCACCCAGCCAGGCACAGACCTCAATAATGAACATCGACTGGTTTAATAAGGGAAAAGGCAAGATTTACTGGACGCATGTGCTTTTCATTAGAGAGAGCTGAAAGGAAATAAAAAATGCTGACCTACCAAGTCATGGGCCACTGTGCCTCTTACTCTTACGAGTGCAGCTAGTACAGGAAAGTGGGTAATAGAAAGCAGTATGCGACTGCACAGGGGCAATGCCTAATAAAATTACTGAGACTAAAGTAACAGAAACATTTTTTTTTTGTCCATTTATTTTTTGTACTGATTTCCATTCCCCTTGCTTAGAGTACAAGAGCTTGGATTTTGTCCATTACCAATGAGAGCTGACTGTGCATTAAAAAATCTGAGGTGAGGTCTTGCTCCCTCCTTAGATCCACTGGGAGATACGAGATATGTAGAGGAAATCTATCTATCTAGGTTGGTACTAGGAGGAAATGATTATCTTAAAGATATGCTGGGGATTGAAAAAGCATCAATTTGGGCATTTGTGTTATACAGGAGTCCAGACATGGGTCATATTTGTTCTTGTAACAATCAATGGCTCTGTGAAGCTCTCCTTCAGGAAGGCATCCATTTCTAAGTCCGTACAACAGGTATAACTGCAGATCCTGGCACATGTGATGGGCAAATTTTTCTTCTTAACAGTCAGCAGCAGAAGCTGGTTGTACAAAATACAAATAACCATACCTCCACGTGTGGCATGCCTCAGATAGTTTACACCCCTGCCTGAGGGCTCGTACTTGAACCTAACTCCTCAGATAACACCCACCCCACCTACACCCATGTGTAACCTCTTCAGATATCACCCACCTCACCTACACCCATGTGTAACTTCCTCAGAATCGGAGGCAGGGAGCTCGGTGGAGTGCAGGAACCAGGCTGTGCAGGAAAGACCTCATTTCTGGGAGAGAGGAAGCAGGTTGCTGAGGATTGGAGACGTTGTGGGCTGCTAAGGGAGACCAGACTTTCAAATAAACACCCCTTCCTATCACCCTCTGATTCACCTAGCCCACAGTGCTGCTGAATCACCGGGTTTTCTACAAATAATCAAATACTTTGAATATCATGTATATGAAACATGATGTTCTTGCTTAAGAGCCCCACAGAGAGTATTCCTTTCTGCAACAGCACAATGTGTGTTTTCTTTGCCTGCTTACACAATGAATGATGAGGAAATGATGAAATTTGGTATTGTGCTCACTTTTGGTCCGTGTGAGGAGTGGAGCTTTTCTTGAAGCATTTAAAACCAGAAGGGCCAAAATCTGCTTAGATTGTAAGGGCAGATCCAAGGCACCTCCACCAACCCTAACGGGGGTTACTGGAGGTCTGTCACCATGGCACGCTGTAAGGAAAGGACAGACCTACTTAGTAAATTAATTCTGCTTTAACTTGAGGAATTGGTACAATATTCATAGATATATCCATCCGTGCCCTCTGTGAGGGGTTTCCTGTCACTAAATCCTTTGGACATCCCAGGAACTTGGCTGATTTATTTTTTTTTTGTGCTACTGGTCCTGTTAATGACCGTGAGCTGGTACCAAGGCTGCTGCATTAGCACCAAATCCCTTCCTGCCCACGATTCCTACTAGTTTTGGTGGCCCAGGAATCAGGAGCAGGGTGCAGGACATCTCTTTCTTTCTCAGACGGAAGCCTTTGGGTAACAGCTCAGCGGGAGTTCAGAGACTCGGCCTCCTAGGGAACCAAGATGCTGATAAGCAATATCTGCCTCCGGGCAGCTGCTCCCAGCTCCCTGGAACTGCTGAGCTCCAAATTCAGCAAGAACCGGTGACACTGATGTGACATTCAGGTGAGAGAGGCCAGTGTTGAGGGCATGAAATATGCCTCATAAGTGATATCTCGCCGGGAGCTGAGAGCCCCTGCCCGAGCAGGGACGTGTCTCCGGCCGCCCCAGTGCCTGGCCCGGAGCCAGCCCTGCCGCTGCCACTCAAACCCAAAGCATCCAGTCCCTCCGCGGGCAGCACCTCCGAGTGTGACTTCTCTCCTGCTCCTGCTGTGTCCCCTCTTCTGCCCAAGAATGGTTTGGATAAGTGGCTGGAGCACGGGCTGACACGGAGGTTGTTGTGGTAGCTCTGAAACGTTGCCTGCACGGGTAGCCTCTGAGATGCTCATACACACCAAGTGCTACGAAGCCCTCTGTGGGCATTTCTCTTTCTGCTTACAAGTGCCCTGTTTAAATCTAGCCTATGGTTGAGTCAGGAATGAAATGCAGCCGAAGGGCTCCAGAAGCACTGAGGAAGGATTTTAAGCCAGGAGATATGGCCAGGCTGCCAGTCACACCAGCCATCTGTCTGCTACCTCTGGCCAAAACCCACCAGGGTCTGCCAACAGGGACGAGGGTGTCTTACCTCGAGTCCCACCACCTTCATCCCCTTCCTGGAACCCAAAGATGGCATTTCTAGTCAGTGCACAGTCTAGAGATTTAAGAAATGTTGGCTATCGTGCTGTAGACAGAAAACAAACAAACAAAAAAAGACAACAAAAATGCCTTGTCTAGGGAGACTTCTTCCCACAGCTGATTTCCCTCCTCTGCCTGCTTCCACCCGAGAGGTACCGTCAGGCTGAGCTTCCCTTCCCAAAGCTGGCATTGCCAACTTCCAGCTGAGGTCAGAGTTAAGGCTTGTTCCTCTTGCCAGAGGTAATTTGGGCATGTGTTACATTTCTTCGATGCTGGAAATGCAAAGGAGTTTCTTGTGGAGGCTGTTTCTCGGTGTGATCGCTTGCTATAATGTGTGGGCACAAAGGGGTGTCCAAAAACTCCACTTAGCCAAATATTTCCCTGCATTTTAAGATTTGCATGAGTGGGTTTTGTACTTAAGCAGCCTTTAATGTATTCAAAAAAAGGTTTGGTTGGTGGGTTACATAATAGTGTTGAATCTGACCCAGACGTGTTGTCACAGCACTGCTGTCAGATAGATAGTGAGCTGTCAGATTGAAGTATTCGTTAGTAATCTAGGTTATTGGGCCCCTTCCCTCAGCAATGCGCCCAGCAGAAAGCAGCAGTGTTAGGAGCTGGAATTACAAGGTTCCACAACGGGGCTAAATATTCTTCTCAAATCCCTGCCTGATAAAGGGAATGTTTGCAGGCGTACTATGTTCTTTTCCAGGAGCAGCTTCCAGCTGATTTACTTTTTCACCGTTCTGCTCAGGCTGGAGTGTGGTCAGAGGTCATAACTTCACAGATAGAGAGGTCACAGATTTCAAGGTATTTACCAGAAATGTGCCCAAATTGGAAGGAAAAGGACTCAAGGACTTGGTTGACTGCAGTCAGCCCTAGCAGCACATAAAGCACTACGCCATCAGGCACCGTCATTACATAGTTGATCTCTAATTAAAACCTTAAATACAGAGACTAGATAAAGTGCTGACCTTTTCCACTGAGAAAAGACT